TTTTTAAGAGAGAAATTATAGTATACGTTAATATATGGACAAGGTAACGATAATGAGTTTGAGAAAGGTATTATGATGAATTGTAGCGTTTTATTTTAGTTTGAAGTTTAGGAATTAATTGTCGGGAGAATGATATATTAATACCGTGTTCTTTCCTGTGACAATGCAATGAACAATACAATGATGATAATATTATCTTTGTTATAGGTTGGTAAAATGGAATGTATAACGCAACAGGAAATAGAAATAGTAAACAACAAGCGCAAGATAATAAGATCTGTTTGTAACTATGTCTATGAAATTTGTATCCTATTCCCAGTTTAAACCCTTTCGTTCATGTACGAAACACAAAATATCAAATGCAAATATTCGCAAAGTTATACGTGTTTTGTATTATTAAAATTAATAATAAATTTGATAACTAATTTTACAAAATGTAAAAAGTATTTATAAATAAAAATTTGGAAGGAAAATCGAACCTAACCTCTCCTATAACTCGATATAATTCCTTTCCAAATTCATATTCCAAATTGGAAAAAAATTTATCAGGACACGAAACACCATAAAATATGATTCTCACCCGAGACAGACTTTGAATTCGTCTCGATTAATGACCGAATAATAATACTTGGATATCCCAGGTAGCTCGCATCTGTTTGTCATTGACAGGGGGAACTGAGGCGCTTGAGGACGGCAAGCTATCGGTTGACATCCAGTCGAACGCACATGCATAATGCGTTCCATTGAACGTAATCAACTAGGAAACGCTTGGGCAAAGCCTTGGAAACCGACCTTGACTCGCCGTAGGAAAGACGGAACGCTTAATGTATGGATGATCTCACACGTGTAAGCGTGACACGAGCGTTTCCAGAAGCCCGTGTCGCTGTGGGAACCGTATGAATATGGATATATCGTATACCGAACGAAAGTGCATTCGTCGTCGAAACGAGAAGGACGAGTAAATTTTAAATTATCATCGATAAATAATTTATTACATCCGTTCTCGTGGCGTCATTTCGTTAACGCAATCTGAATAATGCAAGAAAACTTGGAAAAAACAACGTATACAGATATATTGCACCAGTTGATTTTATTTATTTATTTATCGAAATTAGATGATAATATGTGTGCTATTAGACGATCGTTAAAATAGGGATTGATCTGTCGGTATAAGGTGTAAGATATTATCTTACAATAATTTTCTAACCTAAAAGTAAGTAACGCTGTTGAAAATGGAATAGTTGCTAGTTTCGCCCATTTTAATATCTATTGCTATCCTCGTAAATCTTTTATTCGAATCGTTTTCCTCTCTCTTCCTCAAGTTAAATTCAGAAGACACGTGGCCAGATACGAAGTGCGGACATTGAAGAAGATATATATGTATTTGTAAAAAAAAATTATGTGTTAATTTCTTGGAAATGTATCCTAGCTTAAATCGTTTATAAATTTGTTTATGCAAATGTAATTTTGTACGTACGAGACGAAGGAAAAATTTTTAATTGCGAAAATATTCAGAATTGTAATTGCCCTGGTCGTTTAAAATTAGAATTTTTTTTTTTGAGGTAAATCTTCCTTATAAAATACTCGTTCAAAATATTCATTTTTGAGCCTGTGAGCAAAGATTATATATTTGAATATCTCTTATAAATACATAAACATCCGCAATCTAAATATAACCGATGGAGGTCCAAGATGGCCAACAACGTTCAATAATAGCCGTGACTCGATGTATCGGACGCGTATTGTTTAAACGGGTTCCCTAATAAACTATTTCCTCTATGACTTTCGTGCTTTCCTCTTACGATACAAGAGGCGACCTCTGTGACAATGGAATGTCTTTTGTGATCACCTGACGTCACGGTATCTTTTGCATTTGTCATCCTGCTGAAAATACCAGCTTACGACCAGCAGCTTCTTTTCCTCCCTCATGGAATTGATATATTTTTCTCTTCTTCTTTTTTTTTTTTTTTTTTTTTTTTGCGCGGGCACTCTCTGCTCGTCTCTCGAATTCATCGCGAAATAATAAACACGTTATTGCAATTATGAATATAATACGCAACAAATAAATATATATCAGAAAAAAATACCGTAGATATAATTCTGATGCAATAGAAACGTGTTACTGCAAAATGGGAATGATGTAATCATAAATAACGTGGAAAAAACGCGATTAGCCTATTCTTATTGATTTTCTGATTATTTCACCTATATTGTACGAATATAAACGAGGTAATAATAATAATTTGTATCGCGTTTTCCTATCTTAGCCAAGAAAATCTTGGATAATTATTTTAATTTTGTCATGCAATTTTTCATCGAGTCAAATGATAGAAATCGAAAAAAAAAAAAAAAAGGAAATAAAAA